AAAAAACTATTTTGCTTCGCAAGCAGATCCGCAAAAGATCTGCGGTAGGCCCAAACAGTTGAAGGTTCACGAACAAACACAACTCAGAAACAGAAACGCAAGCAGGCAACAGTAAATTCAGAACTGGAGAGTATTAAATTGAAAGACATTTCCTTCGCAATGCTTGCACTGGAATCTTACCTTCCAATTTCCGCATCCACAACAACTAAAAGGTGTGGTGACAGTTAACTTACTTTATCCACATCAATCATCTGCAAGTTTTACTCCCCATCCAAAGCACAAAAGACCCCTCTGCATATACTAACCTCCTTCCATACAGTTTCTGTTCAGACTGCACAAGCGTGCACATTTAAACACAGCCACAGCCACGCTGGTGGGTTCAGCCATTTCTGGCTCCAGCGGGTTACTCAGCAGCTTTAGGAAACACTTCGTCATCACAACAGGAAAACTGTACGCATAAGCCATAAATGGCCGATGATCATCGTAAACGAATAACACCTTTTAATTTTAATAATTTACTAAAAACAATCATATTTGGTGGTAATTTAACTTTTAGCATGCATTCAGGTGGAAAGCTCATTATTTGACAATGTCCAGATCTAACGTCAGTGCGCAAATCTCATGTACGACCCGTACCCACCAGCCAGTCTGCAGTGTGTTAATAGTTACAAAACCTTCAACAGTTCCACAAGTTGTACGGTGAATGTCTTTTCTCTAGATGTCATCACTGTGCCACACACCGTATTTTCTAGTCCTACCAGCGCAACTCCAAAATACCCTCATTGCATGTGAAACAATGGTTCGCCTCATTACGTGCAACTTCCACCATTCCCAGCGACAGATCAACTGCAATTCCGAAGCCCACGCTTAAGTGGCGTAGACGCAACAGCTACTTTACTTACAATGATTTCAATTGTTCCCTTTGAGATTTTAGTGGGAATGGACAGAGCTTGGAAGAATGACGTCTTCTCAGGACCCAGACCCGTGTTCTGAGCTGGAATGATGACCGGGCAAGGAGCGATGGCTCCATTGCGAGCAGGAGCTCGGACTTTGTTCTCTAGCAGTTTGTCACGGACTTCTACAAGATCTCCGCGAGTAAATACGAATCCAACATTGCCACGCACATGAGGAAGTAACCTGTAATGGAGGAATAAAGCCCGGTCACAAAGTATTAAGACTAAAACAGTTACGACCAAGATGCTGTACTTACAAGGGGTGGGGGGAGAGGGAAATTCCCCTAAAAAGAGATGCTTCCAGCATGTACACATTTAAACATTCCTGCCAGGGCTGAAAGCAGTTTTCGGACTCATTACATGGAATCTTTAACAACCACCACACAGCACAACTCTTTCTGTATCGGCAAATCTTTTGCCGTTCGAGTTATTTTTTTAAGTTCAGGTAAAAACAAAACGTCACAGTGAACGATAAAATGTCACAGGGACCAATAACAGTGAATAGGAGGATCCTCACTTGTAAATACAGAGCTTAGCAGAGAAATAATATACATGCTGCACTGAGGCATTGTAAATCTAAGACTAATGGGCTCCACATTTGTGATCATGTATGATCTAAATAATTATAAATACGTTGGTTACCAATCTCATCTTGTGGGCTTCACTCACAAAGCCTAGTGTCTTCCTTTCATACAGGACAGACTTCTATTTGAGAAATTCATCTTTACAGAATTGGTAAGGCAAGACTAGACTAATGATACCGGACATCTGGGCTTTGGCATCATCACATGGTATTCTTAAAACGACGTAATGCTTTAGAAACTGGATCATTTCCAGTCTCAGGAGGAGAGAGAATGGAAACAATTCTAGTTTCCAAAACCTGTTTTTTGCCCCCACAATACCACACAATGGCGAAAATGTCAGAACTGGTCTAACTTAATGAAAATGACAGAACTGAGCTAGAAACGTCACTTTCGTAAAAACTTTTGTACATTTTGATGAGATTCCATAGTCCCAACAACATGCTGAGACTTCTGTCCACCAAAACAATTGATCTCCTCTTTTTTACTGACCTCCAAAGCCACAAGTGAAGCTCAAGAAGTGGATGAAAAGAGGTTATGTTAAAAATTATTACACATAAGCACGGGTATTTCTTCTACACAATGCATTCAGATACGGATGTTAATCTGAAACAATGAGATGCTTCACCGCTGCTTTAAAATATGCCAGTAAGGAGTTCCAAGAAAACAGACAGGAAATGGATGGGACACAGAAAAGTGGCGTGGTACACAAGTCTGAAAACAACAGTAACAAATAAAAATTTCATTGTGAATAAATTAAGAGCAGACTAAAATCAGAGATTGCTTGATATCACGCAGTTCAGAATCCTTCGTCTCCCCACCTGCTATACAAAAATGTAGATTAAAAATCCCAAAATTATACCATAATATTACGTGTTGTTCTGTACGTGTGACGCTTGACGCCTTAATTGCAGGAAAGAACAAACTGTCGATGTTTGAGAAATGTAAATGCTAACTCACTTCTCTAGAGCAGGATTGCGTTCCAGATGACCTCTAATGGCTTTCCGCATCATGGTGTTCTTCCCCATAAGTACGACGGCCACACCTCTCAGGCTCATTCGGATCTGCTGCATCTGTTTTGAGCCGACATTATCCGCGCCCACGATGAAACATTTTGGGTAGTCATCCAAAAGTTGCTGCATAATACACACATTTCTATTATCACAAGATTCACTGATGCTACTGACATCATTATTTTATTTATTTTTATTATTTTAGTGTTCTGTCTGACGACAGGTCCATATGAACAGGATCCTTCCATCCTTTTCTCGGACTGGGACCTGTTCATATACGTTCTTGGCAGATGATCCAGAAGTGGTTTGCCATTCCCTTCTTCTGTGTGTGAATGGAGTAATTATTGGGATGCCACGGAGGAAAACTCCGGGCTGCCTAGACCACGGCCTTGCCCACCACAAGTTATAAATTCGGGCACCGCAATGGGGGCTGTGTCATAGCTCAGGTGGTTAGTCGCATGCTGCTCACCACTGAAGTCGGAGTGCACATATGGGGCTCGCAGCCAACTGCGTGACAAGGCGTGGGTTTCTCTGACCGGGTCCCTCGATTTTCCCTGTCAGTATATTTCCATCGTTGCCCTGTACTCACTCATGTATCACCCGCGGCTGGACAATGGACCCGCTGCTAGTGCCCGCAGGTCCATAGAAACAAAGCCTCACCCCATCCCAACAATCTATTTATATAACAAGCAAGAGTTGGTTTGTTGGTTATCAGTTGCTGGTAAGGGACTTTTGACCTTAATGGATAATATTTATGTACGCGCATGTCATTATAATCTGATGCTGTTGAGAACATTTTAACCGAATGGGATAATAATTATGACCACAGTAAACGTGCTTATTACAAAAGATTTTCCCGTCATTCCTGACGGGAAATTTACTAGTAACAATATAATTTAGTAGACCACCGTGGCTATTTTTCTCATATTATCGAATGTTTATGGCATTGTGGACAGCATTAAATGACACGTTACAATGCAATGCAAATTATAAGCCTGTCATGGTACAGTAACAATTTTTGCAACACTGAATATGTCAGGAGGTCTACTATCAAACTCCACTCCTCGGCTTTCAGCCTAGTGGCGTTAGCGAATCCTCCTATTTCTGTAGCACATGACCAAACTTTGCATGACAACAGTGTCACGCAAGTAAAACGAGCCTGTGCAAACTGACATCATTAAGATATGTTAATGATCCTTTAAATTCTAATCTTGCATTTAAACAGATTACCAAGTATTCTTTTCAGGACACAACCTAATGTGGTTCAACATTGATGATATCAAAGCCCACCATTAGGTACAACCTTTGGTCAGTTCCATCAATGTCTGATCCCCAGATCTCAGTAACATCAACCATAGTTTTCCTCCTACAGTTTCTCAGTATTAAAAATGTACTTTTTCAACAGGCTGTTTCAGCACCAAAAATTTACAGTGGATCATTCCATGTCAAATCAAAACTGGCATCATCCTAACCCGACCTCCTCAGAATCGAATGATTCCTTGTGAGATTGCAGTCCCAGTGGAGATAAATATTCCTGCCAAATTTTACTGTTTATGGCCAAAAGATTTTTTACAGCAGACATCCAAACTTGTCAAAATGCTTGTATTTTGGGCACAAGTAATCTCAGAAAGCATGGCATAACTTCTGTCGTAATTGAGATACAGAGAACGTTTGTCCATTTTAAAGCCAATAATTTACTCTGTACAATGACATTCGTGTTTTCAAGGTCTTCAAATCTGACCTTTTAACTTGTATTTTCTCAAAATGTGGTATTTTAATTTTCTTTTAATAAGCTGTGTGCATGTAACAAAATATTCAAACATCCACAAGTATCTATATAGGACTACAATGGAATTGAATTTTGTGATGCACATTTATTATAATAATAAGTGTACGGATGCCTGTTGTCCTTCAAATTGTAACCTCAAAATATTAAACATTTTCCGCAACTCTAGCAGAAACACACTTCACATACAATAAAAAAAAATCAATGTCATCTATTGCTGATATATTGACTTTTATCATCAATGGTACCTATTCCAAGTTTCAACCAAAAAATGACAACCAGGATCACTCAGACTGTAATTGTGCTGTTGCACATCTTTGATACAAGTTCTTACGATAAAATAGTGAACACAATATAACAAAATCCACTGGTGGCAACGGTAAAATCTTTGCAACAGTTTAAGGACAATCTGAGTATTAGACAAATGTGATACTTACTACCAACTTTGTAAAATAGTTTGATTTCCAAGCTGTTTTGTCCTCCCTACCCATCTTGTGTATGTAGGGACTTCTCTGATGAGATATTTAAGGACTGAAATAAAGAAAAAACAGATTCATGACCTCCTTAATTCTGCTTATTTTCGTTTGTTAGGATTTTAATAAGGAAGAACTGGCTTAGCAGTAGGAGTCTATTATTATACAAACTTACAAGAAGGGCGGCAAAACTGACTGTAGTAATTATCGAGGCATTTCACTGTTATCAACTTCATACAAAATTTTATCCAACATCCTTCTCCCAAGAATAAGTCCACAAGTAGACGAAATTATTGGGGATCAGTGTGGGTTTCGACGCAAAATGTCAACAAGTGATCAGAGAAAAAATAGGAGTAAAATGAGATATTATATAAGGTATTCATAGACTTCAAGAAAGCGTATGATTCAGTTAGAAGGGAAGTATTGTACAATATTCTAATTGAGTTTGGTTTTTCCATGTAGCCCGCATGGGAGCGAAGAGGAATCCATACAGTGTTTTAGTGGGCAAGCCAGCATGAAAGAGGCAACTATGAAAAATCGGACATACGTGGGAAGATATATATTTTTACTTATTTTTACTCTGTCGATGAATTTCTATTGTTTACAAATAAGTGATAATTTATCTTCGGTATGTAATGGGTAGGTTTATTTGTAACGTATCATTACTTTAGGAGAACCCTTTGTTGTATTATGTGAAATTTATATAATAGTATAAATTGTACTTTACAATATGTACTGTATTATTATTATTGTAACTTTTTCCACATTCTATTGTCATCTGAATATCTTATGGGTCCATGGAATGTAATAAAGATGTATGTATTTATAGGTAACGAACTGAAATCGTTCGTAACTTGCTTTACGAAAGCACATACGTTAACGTATCCAAACAAATAAACTAAATCCTACATAAAAAGCAAGCAAAGCTCAGAACTGAAAATTCCAAAACAAATTCGTAAAATATGTAAAGTAACACAAGCACATGGGACCATACTATCCAAAACTCTAGCAACGAGCACCCCTTCAAATGTTATGATTATGCTCCAAATAGGAAAAATACAGATAAATCATACTTTAGACGTTAAAAACGTATGCAACTAAAACACATGCAACTACAGAAAAATACAGATGCACTTAAAACAGTAACGATAATTACACACACTACCCACCTCAGCAAAAATTCAGCTATACTCCAGCCAACACAGATTCTGCATTATCTGTGGATTTTACCCAACAACAGGACGTCACGGATCATAATATTCGTCTTTCTGTTTTCTGTGTTCGCTAGGATAGTAGAACATATTGACGGAACTGCTCCGTCCACTATGCTCGGTGACGAGAACGCTGAATTATTTGATATGGAAATGTCATGACATACATATTAGCTGTCATTGAGAACCGAGACAACACTACATAATAATTAAAAACTGTCTCCCTGCATTTTTCCTTTAAGCACTTGTACCTCAAAAGAAATACTAGGCATTTTGATTTATTATAATTCCCTGAGATTTCCTTTGAGCTATGATTTGTCATTGTTCTTACCTAATTTGTTGTTTTGGCAGAAGTCATTTGCAAGAGTATGAACTTGATTCTCAATCTGCTTCTCAGGAATCTTTCAGCAGGTTTTAGTTGCCCTGATAAATGTATGAGGCATACTTATATGCACACTTACACTTGTGAACAAACCAGTAATGGCCACTCACATCTATCATAACAGGAAAACCTCATTATCTGGACCTTCTGCAGTATAGTAACAGCTCATATCCACAAACACATTCTAATACAACCTTTATGTTAAGGCCAGCACAGTCACAGCTGACAAGTGTGTGTAGCAAGCTCTGAAACCTCTTCATGACATTTGTGGATTTTTAAGGCCTTCAACATGCTAACTGGTGGTGGAACTTGAGCACATCATTGGACTGGACCAAGCAAAAACCAGGACAGTGAGGATCTTGCTAGCTTACTTCCAAATTGACGTTACCGTCTTAAGAAATAACACAGACCAATGTAGTTCAGGGCAACACTCTCCAAACCCCCCCAATACTGCTAACACAACAACATAAGCAGTACTTGAAGGCCTCTAGAAGACAAAATTATATATGTATGCAGATATAGTCCTCACATCCAAGTCAAAACAGAATCTGTCAATAGCCTTCACTGACTTCTGTGGCTGGTTTGAATACAATTAACATAAATCTTTAGGAATAGAGGGAGACTTGCAGAAACTGACTTCATTTACTGTAAGGGTGAGAGGTTAAAGAACATCAACTCCTTTCAATATCTCTGTGTGACTCTACAGACAACTGGCAAGACCTTCAGGCAACACATGAAGGAGAAGGCATTTATTACCCTCATGCATGACACCAAAAGCCTGAGCCTACTCTCCCCAGAAATAACCACAAAACTGTTTGCTGTGAAAATAACTCCAATTTTGATACATGGTCTGAATACAGCTGGATCACCTGACAGTAAGCAACCTCATGACATGAAAATGTGAAGGTGACATTCCTTAAAAGGGCACTGTTTTGTCAAGGTTCACAGTGTTCCGGCTTGTGTACACCGTGGCTAGGGAACCATTTCTAATTGAGAAGCCCAGAATGAGCTGCTACTGACATCTAATGATGCCTCCAAGACACTGCTAAATAAAAGGTGACAAAAGCAGGATGATATATGGTGAGTTGTAGGCCACAGACGCAGTGATAAATAGACTGAACAAAATTTAACTTCAAGCTGCAATACACAACCACGTGCCGAACTGTCCATGGTTTTCATAGGACCTGCCAGAACAGCCTCTACCACAATCCTGAACCAAACTGCATTTGCCACTTACGTGGCACACCAAGAGATTCCACATTCTCACATGTGAAAAAGGGGTTCTGTCACAGAGTACAGCAAAGAAGACTGATGAAATTACTCTGCACACTGTGTGCCTTTCTTATCATCATATTCCTATGCACAAATAGGAAAGCATCCACTTTATGTTAGTGACCAATCCTTAGTATATCAGTCCATCTCTTGATATCCTTTAGCACCTGCCTTAATCACAGCTATCTTTTTCCTTTAAATTTAATTCTAATGGTTTTCTTCATATCCTTTTTGTATGGTCAAATAAATAGTCATTCAGTTTATACTTCTATCCTATCTGGTCTTCTCCTCAGTATTTCTCAAAAATTTCATATCTACTGTTTAGAATTTGCATTTATTCCTATTGGTAAAGATACATGGTTCACTACTTAATGCTGCATCACTAAACTATAAATTATTCTTCTGCACTGTTTTCAGATCTCTGTGTTCCATGTACATTTTACAATCTGAAAGATCTACAACTGTTCTGAAATTTTCTATTGCTCTCTCATCAATTTTGCCTTCTGAATGTATATAACTTCCCAAATACATATGCCCACCTCTTAACCATTCTAATGATCATGCCTACTTTTCTTGTAATCCTCAGTCACCATCTTGTGCTTACCCATTATCAGTCTGAATTAATTTCCACTGATTCGGTTTCTCTTCAAATTTCTTTTCGTGTTTCCCAGAAAATAACATAGTCTGCAAGAATACATTTATAAGAAATGAACAACAAAATTTCAACAAACACATATTGTGACACATACTCTATTATAAACAGTAATAACAGGCAAAAATTCTTTATTTTTTATCCTCAGAGGTATAAAAAGCAACATGACTACATTTATCACTCAAATATTATATGCTTCTTTTCTTAATATTTGTTCAAATATTTTTATGACAAAACAAAATATGATGATTCAGTCATAAAACACAGAAAAAGTAATACAGCTCCTAAAACCACCCCATATTTGTGTTGTAGCACATATGTAAAAAAAGCAACCATTATGAGGTGTCTTTTTCTAACTTTCTTCCAAATTAGGGCAGAAAGAAAATAAGTTAAACAAACTGTTACTGTTTCTTTATGAAAGACACACTGTAATAAAAGATTTAATAAAAAGTTTTCAGGTAATTTTTATTGTGTGATGTACCAATTCTGTATGTATCTTCAGAGTTGCATAATCACTTCTTTATTAAATTTATCCAGATTGCCATAATACTTGTAACAATTTGATTCCCTTTCATCGTATAATCCAGATGTTCTCTTGTATAAAGCACCAAAACTGATTGTTTAAATTCTTGGTTTCAGACCCAAAAGAACCAAGTTTTCTGTTTAATTCATTATAATTTTTTCCTTTCTTCCAAACTGCATTATAAACAGTAACTTAAGTATCTACACATGGGCATACACAATGTAAAATGTCCTGTCATCACAATTTAACTTCAAAGTGCATATAAATTTTACCTCAAATTGCAAGTCACTAGCAGTAAATATCCATTAAAAAAGTTTACGTTATGATCACAAATAAAGTCACTTTGAAAAATTCTGACCATGCACTGCGAACAACACTACACAAATCATTCTTTGTTCCTTTCCCAATGTCACAATTATTGTTTGGTGCGAATGATGAGAGTAATTAATGCTTACACGCACTAGTTAACAATTATGCTGAAGAGTGACCCAATACTGAGAGCCCCATCCTAATAAATTTGGAATTCCCACAAAACCTTCCACGACACTCCATAACTTAGTAAGATGTCTGTCTTCTGGGTTTTATTTCCATTAGTCCAGCAGTGCAACACAGAAGACAGCCATCTTCACGATTACTGCTGAGAGAACTTCGAATCCTACTCCGTAACTTACATCACAAGTATGTTCCCATGTGTGAAATACTCTCTCGCTTTATTTGGCATACACACTCTCAAATACATTTTCTCGCACATGCACACATATTACAAGTTTGTATATTATAAAAAAAATCTAGCACAATCGTTTTATAATCTTAACTTCGTCTATATTGTGGCCCTACAAGATATGATATAAATGGAATCTCAATAAAACACATGTTATAATAATTATATACAAAAAATCACTACTCTCTTTGGAAAACAGAAATAATAAGAGACACATTAAGAAACCAGAAGTAAGTTAGAACATTTATCAGAATATTGGCCTTTTGCAGACATACACAAATTGGGAAAAAGAGCTGGAATTGGGCTGCTATGAATGTCTCCCTGGGCCATAGTTCTGCTAAACTGTCTGTCCACCAGTTATTTTTATTTTCTGGGAAGTTAAAAAGAATAACAAGATTAAAAGAACAGACTGGGAAATGGTGTATCATACAATAAAATATGGTTAGGTTAGGTTAGTGCTGCAGCTAAGGGCATATACTGAATGATCTTGGGCATCTTCGTACATAATACACACATTCATATTTTTCAGCAATATAAGGTGAAGTCAAACGTATATGAAATTCCTTATTCCTGCACTCAAGGCTTTGAGATCTATGTCCTGATAGGATTGCTGTAGCTTCATTATTGTGACAAGGAAAGTAAAATTACAATGGGTTTGTTTCATAAGAATCATAACACATCTAACTTTTGTGCCAAAATATACCGTGGATCCCTCCTAATAAGTTTCGCAAAAGACCATGAAATACAAACTTCATAAGCAAGAAAACATTTTAAAGGTGTAGGCTTCATAATGTTTTCAAAATTAATTGGGATATATACCTCACAGAAAATCAATAGAATAGACATTACAGTAGATTTTTATGCTGAACGACTTAAGACACTAAATACAAATATACACTATATGTTTCTACTGTCATGGTTAAAATCAAATAGTATGATCTGAAATGTCATTCTTTCTTGAAGAACATATCTAATGTCACTTGTTTTATGTGAATTTCAAACAAATTTGAAGTAAATCTTCCAGTTCCCTAATATTTATGACAACTGACAATGGCACATCAAGAATGCCACTAAGGAAGTTAACTACCAGCTTCAGGTAGACAGATGAAAGTCGTCAGTGAGTCACAGCCAATTCCACCTAACTTGTACCTCACACCGAGTGCTTGCGACAAGCTTTTTATGCAGGAAACATTTTAAACATCATACTTATAGCGATACTTTTGGGACCCTATGATTTTAACTTCTAGGCACAAAACCATTTCAAGTGGGGACTAATGTAGTATACAAAGTTGTCACTGTGGCACTGCAGGCAGTGTCAAATAAAATAGTAAAATGTGTAGGTTCAGAAAGTAGAAAACTGTGTTAAAGTTTGAAGAAATTCATTCAGCAGTCACTGTTCAGTGATGGTTCCTCATGGCACATGATAAAGCAGCCCGGACAAGAAAATTGATTTACAGTGGCATAAATCGTTTATAAATACTGGTTGCTTGTGCAAGAACCAAGGAAAAGGACGACAGTCTAACACAGAAATGCTGGAATGTATTCTGGCAATGCTTCAACACAGCCCACAGAAGCTGGATGTGGACAGTGCAACTTTTCAGCAAGACGGGGCCCTATCTTAATATCGCAGGGACTGATGTAGTTCTTTAATTAAACCTTTCCATAACCAAATTGGATATGACGGACTCATTCCGTGGCCATCAAGGTCTCTGGCTCAGACTACAGCTGACCTATGCTTTAGGGGTATTGTCCAACTCTATGAACTACCTGTGTCATAGAATTTGCAAGAGCCTCAAGAGGTAATTCATTGTTTTGGTGAAAAATTACATTTTAAGCAGAGTGTAGCAAAGAGGTAGAATTTCATTGGGATGTGTCACATTACTGTGGGAAGCCACACTGAAAACTTACAAACCAGAAAAAATAAATGTTACAACTCACTGTTATGAAAGAAACCACATTGAGTAATCATTTTCCATTCATCACAATAAACTTATGAAGTCATGTACTCAATTATGATACACTAAACACTTAATTTGATCTGATGTCCAAATAATACAATAAATATATTTGTATGTTATTTTTACTGGAATGAGGGCTCCAGTCACTGCAGAAATTGCACTGAAGCAAAAAAAAACTGTGAAAATGTGTTAATAATTTTAAAAGTTGAAAATAGTTTTGACTGAAGCCAAGAAGTTACACTCTTAAAGACCAAATGTTTTAAATTATTTTCAGTAAAATAAATTATTACTAAACTTCACATTAAAGAACATTTAGTGTATACTCCACACAGCATTTGTTAAAAGCAAAATCCTCAGGTTAATGGTCACAGAGTATAAATGTTCTAACAACATTTCATTGTATGAACTGGTATTGTAGGATTTCAAATTTTTGTTTTCTAATCATGTCTGTTTACCAAACTGCGAGCAGTCTCCTTTGAAATCCAACAACATCTCAAATATACAAAATAGAATAATAATAAAAAGTATGTCTGTTCCATTTTTCCCAGAATTAATTTTTCACAAGTTTGAATACAGTCTTTCTGAATTGCACCAATATTAAAAAAGTCACACATTCACACATGTACAGATTTACACAAACTCCTATTTTAGTTAATCCTGATTTCAACTGCCTTGCTTCATTTTCTGCATATATTTCTCTTCATAAACATGTCTGCCCACCTTTAGTGTACTCTGAGATTATTTTAAACAGTTTCACCCTTGTAACAAACCCTCTTTATATGAACGAACTTTCCTGTTGATATTTAAAAAAGGTGGAATTACCTTCCAGTTTTAAAACAATCAACACGCTACACTCAAGGTTGTAACACTGCCATCTTACAAAGGACACTGGTAAAACCCACAGCTACACAACGCACAAAATGCTTACTTATACATTTTGTGTTTTAAGATTCTGCATACATTTTATTACGAGTCATTCTGAGGGCCAAAGGATTAAGCAAATGAGTGGAATTTGCCCACATATAACCATAAAAATCAAGTTGGATTCTCAGCTCAGACAAAACAATGTTCCAGTTGGTTAACTGGGTAGTTTGTGCAGATATGAACATGATGAGTGCACCTCTTCAATTACTGGGTTACTTATAAATTAGTTATTGATGATGTTAACAGTATAGTTATTTTTATACAAGTTACAACAAAAAGAAATATATATATATATATCATATATAGTTATATTTAAATTACTGCACATTTGAGCTGAATTATTAAAAGTTGTGAAAGTATTCACTTTGGAAGTGACCATGGCTGCCAACTCCTCCAAATGTATCTGTAAAAATCTATTTTCAAATGAAATGAAATTACACATGCTATTACAAGATGCAGTTCTGGAACCAGACACTTAACACTTTAATACTTGTACTGGAGCATTCCTGAAGTGTATTATTATAATAATAATAATATACCTAAGACTTTGATCACTTTCTACTGAGATACATTACGTGGCTACACATTTCAACCTGTCACCTTCATGCCATCATTCTTGTTTCATTAGTTCAGCCATGTGTCCCCTCAGCTACAAACTAGCAAATGGCAATGCTGATGGGGAGAAAAGAATTCCACCAACATAAACAATTACAGAGCTCACTGCGCACCACAAGCTAGGACATGTCATGATCTTCAGCTATAAAAAGACATCGCAGAAGCACAAAAAAAGTCAGATAAAAATGCAGACTGTCACGATGAAGACCACTTACGTACATTTGTACAACACTAAACTGTTTGTGACTTCGACTTCCCTGTAGCCTGAAGGGTCCAAGATTCTACTGACAGATTACGTGGAATGTCCTATTTCTGACAGGCTCCCTTCTCAGTTCTTTTTCCTCCCACTTGGTGTGCAGTGACAAAAATTCCCCATTTTACACAGCGGAAGCATTGTTTTCGGGGGTGGCTATGACAGCAGGCATTTCAGAGTGCCTTATTCAGCTTCAATTTAATTTGTGCTTGTCATTTGCGGTCTCAAAGTAATGCTGAAACTATGTACACAGCAAAAGGGTGCACTGTGAAAATGAAAAATACACCTGCTCTTCACTCAAACAGAGGTGACTGACATTGCTGGAGCCAGTCTGCCCAAGCCAGGCAGCAAACGAAACTAAACATCACTGAGGTGGAAGACCCCAAAGTTTTGAATTCCTGTCCAGCAAGTCTGGGCTCTGATACAAAGTTGCAGAAGCCAGAATTTTTTAATCAATCAATCAATCAAAAAAAAAAAGTTTCAATTGAGTGGTGGTAGGCAATGGCAGGGAGTAAAAAAATGGTTGTCTTCTGGGGTGTTGTGCCAAGGGTCCAAGATTCTACTGACAGATTACGTGGAATGTCCTATTTCTGACAGGCTCCCTTCTCAGTTCTTTTTCCTCCCACTTGGTGTGCAGTGACAAAAATTCCCCATTTTACACAGCGGAAGCATTGTTTTCGGGGGTGGCTATGACAGCAGGCATTTCAGAGTGCCTTATTCAGCTTCAATTTAATTTGTGCTTGTCATTTGCGGTCTCAAAGTAATGCTGAAACTATGTACACAGCAAAAGGGTGCACTGTGAAAATGAAAAATACACCTGCTCTTCACTCAAACAGAGGTGACTGACATTGCTGGAGCCAGTCTGCCCAAGCCAGGCAGCAAACGAAACTAAACATCACTGAGGTGGAAGACCCCAAAGTTTTGAATTCCTGTCCAGCAAGTCTGGGCTCTGATACAAAGTTGCAGAAGCCAGAATTTTTTAATCAATCAATCAATCAAAAAAAAAAAGTTTCAATTGAGTGGTGGTAGGCAATGGCAGGGAGTAAAAAAATGGTTGTCTTCTGGGTTGTTGTGCCCTGTAATCTGGTAGAAGTTGACAGACATTTTAGAGGTGTCTGCCTCGTCCATCATCAGGGTAATATTAATGGAGGCAACCAACTACGAAACGCTCTACCAGAATTCTTGGAATACTATACGCAACTCGCCGTGAGTAATGTTTGTATTTTCAAACCAAAAGCCATTCTAGTAAGACATTCATATTATATTAACTGTTTGGATTTGGAATGTCACCGTTTATACCAGACCTCAAGTAACAACCTTACTCGTTTCATATAATTCTCGCTACAAACAGGGTTTATTTCCCTAACAGCATTAACTAGATCCTTGTAATGGGAAGTGGTGTTTTTTCTCTGAGGTACGAACTGAATTTAGATAAATTTCAGTTTCAGAGGGTTAACCCTCAATGTTAACTGTCACTGCCATAACGCTCAAGTACATCTTCAGAAAGTCCAGTGCCTTGCATTAAGAAAACAGAACTGATAAGTAACTGTATATAGGGAATGATAACAACTCAAGTGTTAACTGTGGTCTTCACATTTCACATGTACAGATGCACAATAAGACACAAAAGCGCAGAATAACTACATCAAGAACATAATGTATCATGTAATCATAAATACATACGATATCCCACATGATACCAGAAGCTGTGTGCACCCCCACTGGCAATAAAAAGACTGCTGTGCCTAAGATCTTTCTACCCACTGATGAGACTTCAAGGTTCTTGCTGCTTAAACATGCTGAAATAGTTCTTTGGGCTGAGCAACTTATGTTGTCTGTTAACACCTATGTTGATGGTCTTATTGTCCAATTCCAATCCCTTGCCACAAACATTAGTTGCTTTATGCACACGTGCAGTGCAAGGAACACTGACGACACAATAACAAACATGACAATTAATCTAACACAGAACAACAAAAATTAAGATGTAGTTACAGAAGAGCTGGAATGCAGGTATAACAGTAAGTTAATATAAATATATCATATGTAAAATAAACTGGTCAATAAGAAAACATGACTGACTCATGTTACAAATGCATCCATTTGTAGAAATTAAAGGATTATAAAAAAAAGATGACTGGCACAAATAGCAACACATGACGGCCTGAAGACAATGCACGGATCAAAATATGTAACCACGTAACATAGACCGAAATGGAAGGTTCTGCAGATTAAAAAAAAATTTAATGCTGATTAATTTTAATAGTAACTAAGCTACTTCCCAGAATTTAAAATAAAGGGTTGACCAATTTTTTCTGAAATAGTTTCAGAGTAACTCAGGTTTAACGCACATAAAGCCATGCTCATTTCACGGAAAGGCGTAGACGGCATCTGCTCTCGACAGTTCCTTTTTCATATATGCACAAAACTATACTTGGCAGAGTTGGAAGCCTAGAGGTTGACAACAGAATCACAGATGTAAATTGCATTATAACATAGTATTACATATGAAATTGAAAGACATGAAATGACCCCAGAATCAGAAATCTCATAAGGATTTGAAAATTCTGAATGGGCCTATGATCTATCAGTTTCATAAGTGACTGCAACATGGCCAGAAGCAAGAGATGGAAAATTTAATGTTCTTTGTCGATAAAAACAAAAGAAAGCTAAAAGAATTTTGAAACTACCACTTTCTCTATGAAACAGTTTTGTTTTCACTTCTTTTATGATGCTAACTGGCCTATGCCAATCACATATTATAAAATATAAAGTCAAGTATTTAAGGACACCATATTTGCATTTCTCAGTCACTGAAGATTAGGGGAGGGGACTGCAGATCTCTGTTACCAGTTCAAGAGGTAACAACATGGGGTGTATAAAAAATGAACCATTCTTCATCAGGTCAACAGTTTGTTTTGATGTAATACTCAGAGAGAGGCTACTTCATAAGTCTCTGGAAGTTCTTCACCAAACACTGCTTTTCCTCGTGCTAAGTCAGATTAATGTTTCTAACACATTAATGTCAGTATGAAACCCTATCACATGCTTTTATCTTAAATAATATACAAATACATTCATTAAACCTTTGATATAATGACGTTCATAATGCACAATTACCTGTTACTATGAATTCCCACTGTATCATAATTACTGGAAGCAAGAAGTATGGTGATTTTCATATCATTGTACCCATACGTTCAGATTCAGACGTGTGTAGTCTGCCAAATTTTCCGAGTAAAGGCGCATTTACGAGGTGATAGTACAGTCTGTGGTTTTCAGTCTCCAGAATTTCCAGTTCTCACATCTGTATCTGATATTATTAAGTATATACCTCAAGAAAACATGCAAGTGTGCTCCGTACAAAGGCGTCAAACCTAAAGCAGACATTTCATTTCTACAAATAAAACTTTTTTCAGCGATTCATTTTAATGGAAGAATTCTTTCAGGCCAATGTCTTTTAACCAAAATACAAATATATTCTGCATCTTAACTTTTTGTATGGAATACAACATAAATACAGTGTAACTGCAATAGAATGAATATGGCCTATAACAAGAACTTCGTTACAGCAAGAAAAATAATCATCACCATCAATTTCTTATTGGAACACGTTGCTTTCTCTCGGAACAACATAGTGAACATTTTCAAAATTAGCTGCCACTTCCATCCCAAAAACTTGTTGCACCAGACATACTTTTAGCTTCAAATATGGCTGTCTGCTGGGTTGTTGTGCCATGTAATCTGGTAGAAGTTTCCTGACATTTCAGGGGTATTTGCTGCTGCCCCCATCAACAGGAGAAAGAAAGCACCTCTGAAACACTAGGAAACTTCTGCCAGACTACATGACACAACAAACCAGAAGACAGACATCTTCATACCTTCCACCGAGAACCTCAAATCCCATCTACTTGTAGTTCCGTAACTTTGAATATGAAGCTATTTATAGCTGGCAATCAGTAAACATACCAGCAACGCATACTCTGTGCCTCTTCAGTTCAGGAAAGAAAAGTCTGCATTCCAGAAAGTGTTGAATGTGTCATTTATCTTGTAGTTTGAAAGAAGTGGGCCTGGGAGGGAAGTTAATATGACAAGCTCTTCCCAGTACTACCAACCAATATAACATTTTCCTCTTGAGTAACATTTTCTTGCACAGTAATTAGAAGTTTGGTGACAAACTTGAAGACTGTGTATTTCAACAATTCTCAGATACAGTTAATAAGAACTTTCCTGAACTTCAATAATTCTGAGATGATATAAAAATATAAACAAATTCAATAATTCTCATTATACTGAGGTTGCAGTGTATATAAAATAAGGCAATACAGAAACAAATTCTTCTAAACTACATCTTAAATGCTGTACCTGGCTAGAAAGTTTTAAATATGTAGGGTACCTCATGCTCGATCTGATTATGTCACTATTATATAAAGAAAGCTATTCTGACACGTTCTGTCATATAAATTAGCTCTCCTGAAGCAATGCATGAATACTGTATTAAATTACGATATGAAATGTTAAACAGGGAATTCAACAGTTACCAATCACCATAGCTTTGCTTCCAGTACTCAACAGCGTTTCATATTTGATGGCACCAACACCAGAGCTCTCATTCTGTGACTTAACTGAACTGGCTCGCTAATTCTAGAGTATTTCCTGGCTCAGTTCTGTTTATATAAGTCCCTGTGGTGATGTATTATTTGAGCTGTGGCTATCACCAGTTGGCCATTCCTGGCTTGTTTAATGTCATGAAGTAGATCTGACAAGACGAACCCCCCTTTGCAGAGGAGAAAAACACCTGCAAGCAACAGGAAACATCATCACATTAGAAGAACATAAACTGGTGCCCAGGGGCCTAAGAGGGATGACGCAACTAGGCGACTGAAGGGATAGACGTACGACTCTTAGCCATGCCACAGCACAGTTGGTTAGCCACTGGCTTCTGGTTTGTTCCCAGGGCAGTCCACGGGTAATTTGTCATAGGCAAAGAGGCACCGAGACAGATATTTCTCTAATATAATTCTACCACTGCTCCATATTCACTCGTGTATCATCTGTAGGATGGAAAATGGGCCTGTCAGAGGCCACAGTTCATGGAGACACAATCTCAGCCCATCATAATAAAATGCCTCCCCTTCACACAGCAAAATTTTCAGGAAAAATAAAATTTTGTTACTTAGACAGAACTTTAGGAACATTTCTGACGCAAACTTAACTTTCGTTATATGATTTGAAGCTTTCATGGCGACGTTAACTCAATAAAATCTTCTCGAGCGATCAGTGGCGTCAAATGGTCAACCATTTGACGCGGCTGATCGTTACTCATATCTTCATAACAGACAATTTTAGGTCTACAGTTGCTTTCCTCGTAAAACTTGCACACATTGTTCACTGTTTGTCCTCACCCACTTTTTTTTGTACAAAAAGTATAAAAGTGTTAGTCAGGTAAAAACAGCACATATTCAATCTCTCAACTGCTGGTAAACATATAAAACTAGCGATTCTGAACAAAACAGTGGGGCAGTCACTGAATTAAAATTAATGTCCCCACTGAAATAGGACAAGAATAATGTAACTTAGTTTGACCTGCACATATGAAACCGTATCTCTCATGCTCATAAAGAACAAAAATATATTACACTAATGATTATGTTGTCCCTGTGCTCAAATGAGACTTATGAGGAGGAGGAGACACAGTTTCACACACGCTTCATCTCAGCACTAGATTCATGTTAAATGTGTATTTTGTATGGAAAGTACACAAATGCACTGAAACTACCTTATCATTTCTTTCACAGAGGAACTTTAGCCTCTGGGCTTTCTTGTGCATGAATACTCCGTCGAGGTGACCCGTCTCGACGCTGCGGATTTCAATGGCCTTGTTACCCCAACCCATGATTTGACCTGTTCCAATATATGCAACTGATGTTGGCATCTCTCCCCACTGCAGAACAATGTTCTTTGATACCTGTAATTAGGGCAGAAACACTTTAACCACAAAAGCACTGATTTCTCCAAACAGTATTCTGCATGCAATCACCACTCATCTCAACTTACCATAATGAACGTAACTTGCCTTGTGGCACGTGGCACTACCGTTCTACTTCCATTTCGTGTATGAAACAACTCAAAAGTTTTAATTTCTCATGTTACTGTGTTATTTCCACCACACAGAGAAATGAAAATGCCAAGGAACAGAAGAAAGTGACGTGAACGTTCAGCTGTCAATCTGAGAACCAGACTTATTGGAGTTGAATTTTCAAAATATAATGCTGAAGTAATTATATAGAGAGGAGAGAAAGAGGTAAAAGATGAGAAACTGTGAGCAGCCTATATTCCAAGGAAATTGCCTTCTTCTTTTTCTATGGCACAACAGCCCGAAGTCGAGCCTTGGCCTCCTCCCACGTGGGAGGTTTCTTTGACTTTAAAATGTGCATTTATGAGTAGTGAGTGACCAGCCCACTGCCTCTGCACAATTTCTACTGAATCCTGATTTGTCTGCTACAGCCATCTAGTAGTGAATCAGGAGAGACTTGGGTGAGAAATGGCCGCTGAATTTTGCTCGCAATACATCTCTTTTCATGCTCACAAGGTTCTTTTACAAGCCGCAAATCAACATGGGACCGCCTGCTTTACTTCCTCTCTAAAGGAAGTTGTGCTACAGATTTTTATCACCCTTAAAAATCCAATGACCTCAGTCGGGTTTGAACCCGCAAACCATGGGTTCAGTGGCAAGCATGTCAACCACTAGTCCACCGAGGGTGACAAGGAAATTACGTACTATTAACATTTAAAGCTTTTATGGTGGTAAATATTGAAGTTGTGATGTCATGTAGTCTTGTAAGTGGTTGCCAATGTTTCAGAACAACACACTGCCTCCTTCTTCAAGGTATAAAGTGGAAATTATACTTCAAAACCTTGAATTGCATGTGATCAGAATTTTCATGATCAGCTAGCACAAAAGACAGTCACTCAATTGGCACTGTCTGCATCTCTCTGGGATATGGCCCCCGAAAGCAATTACTGCGCAATTTTTTTGTAGAAAGTGAAATATTTTATAAAGTAAGTAATCTATGAGTTTTTCTATAGTTAGTGATGCTTTTCTCAAGTGTCCACATTAAATAATGGCATTCTTTCAAGGATTTCAGGTTTTCATGGCAGTGTGTCCGAAGACACGCTGTCTTCTGGATTGTAGCGCTGTGTAGTCTGATAGGAATTTACCAATGTTTCAGAGGCCTTTGCTGTCTCCATCATCAGGAAACATTGGTAAACTTCTACCAGACTACGCAGCTCTACAATCCAGAAGACAGCCATCATCTAGTGGCATTCTTGTGTTCCCTTATATAACACAGCTTGTAAATACCACATATATAACATTTCTAGTAGTTTTATATACAATTACATCTACATGAGTTATATAACTATATATATTTGGTAGGTACAGACAGGCTAAGAATTGTTCCCAAGAGGGACAAATGTGAGATATCAGTGATACACTAAAGCTGATCTATTATAATCAAAACTCACGTGTAACAACAGTGCATAAAAGCTGTTGGAAATACTAACCTTGCCATACGTATTGACATAGACGCCTTCATTATCATAACAAAGCAGAAGTTGCATCCCGTTTGAGTTAGGCAGTGGTACAATGCAATGGGGTGAGATCGGCCCTTGTATCTGTAACAAAACGGGGAGAAATAAAAAAATATACAATGAAACACTGTTACGATATTCCCATTTGTACCATTTGTGTTGGAAAACGATACCAGTGGAAAATCTGTCATTTGCAACCGCCAGCATACTGATGCTTTTATCAAACCCGCACGAAATTTTACAGTTTTTAACACAATATTTAATTTATTTAATGTGTAAAATAGCCTCCCTTACTACGTACATTCCTCAAGAAATGGAAGTAGGCTTAAAATATGCTGCAGTTTACAGCAAACATATAAGAACACTTACATGTTTTGGTATGTAAATGTCGTAAACAGACGCAGAGTCGAGATCCACAGCATGAAAACCATCTGCAGAGCCATAGATCACCTTGAGTCTCGTACCCTCCTCTACTGTGAGGTCTACCAAGAGGGGCCTATGCATCAGGTCACCAAATGACTGGAACAATTTTCCAAACATTATATACACATTCTTTTGAAACAGACAGCACAAATCCCAATGTATCGTGCATAAGCCAACATCACACAGCAAAAAAGGATTTGCTGCACCTCACAGGAGCCGAGTTCTTCTCTCTGACCCCCCTCCGACTGCTACTTCTCCTAAAATGTTGGCATCTACGAACCAGTCCACATGGTGCCAGGACCCAAAAACATCAATCCCCCCCGCAAAAATGCCAACTCTCACATATTAAATGACTGTTCATGAATATACAAGTTAATTTCTCTCAGCTTAAGTGTCCTTGTAATGTATAATAATGGATCAAACACTTCCAGTATGCAATGCATCCACACACTGCATGTAACATGTATATGTGGGAAAATAAAGAAACCGAACTTGCTTCACATTGTTCAAGCAGAAACAGAACGCTCCTGTCATTCTTCTTGCCAAGTGCAGCAGCCACTGGCAAAACAACTGTGCAGGAACCCACGTATTATTGCCCTAACTCCCCACTCAACTCCATGGCGCAGCAAAATATCAGTTAAATCCAGAAATATTGACACAATTACAAAAATCAGGCTCAAAACACAGAACTTTCAAATTCACGACAAAATAAGGATCAAAACACAGAACTTTCAAATTCACGACAGTCACGTGACATTTTTTGTAAACTTTATATGCTTCAAACAACCTGGCAGTATTTTGCAGCCCAAAAATGAATTTTCAAAGCTCAGGGAACGAAGTCAAATGATGCAGTGCATGGAATTTTTTTTTATTCTTTTATGTGAACTAAATATAAATTCTGAAGTGCACGTGCATTAAACCGCAGAAAAATGCTGGAGCAAAAAGGGTCAAGTTAAAATGTTTCACGATGCTGATGAATCAAGTAAGTGGTCTACACAAATGATCTGAACATTTGATTTTCCAATAAACATTTTCTTACCTTGAAAGCCATGAACTTGTGATAAGGCTTTGGTGCCCAGGCATATATCTCAATGCTGTCTTTGAGAGCAATAACAAGAAACTTGATGCGCTCATACTTGACGATCTTGAAGTGAACAGCACCCTGGAGATCTCCTACATTAATCCATCCATTTCGACGCTCAACTTGCTGGAAATGACAAAACACCAACAGACCAATCAGACGTACAGTGTACAACAGAAGCAGCACAGTTGTTGTACTTACCAGTGCATTGTTTGTTACGCCGCTTACAGCTTACGTTTTTATTATACATGGAGAGGAGAATGCCATACGATTCCTCTCCCACTTTAGCATGAAGACCACATTGTAGCAGGGCTCACCATGACTTACTTTTCAATTTCTATCAACAACATGGAAAACGGCAACCGAGCCAGCTTCTGAAATGTCGTGTGGTTTTTAAACTAAGATGAAAGAAAACTACAAGAATGTATACCAGTTTAATACCACCAGTAAGTTGCGATGGACTGACCAGCAGGAGAACATTTCATTTCTGGGAAAAGCAATATTAAATATAAATCATCACACCATCAGCGGCTCCATCTCTGACCTAGCACTTGGCTGGTAGATAATGACAATATCTCAGCATGGTAACGTGAACTACTTTCAAAAAAATAAATATTACAGAATTAAAAATACCATTTACTACACATGGATCACATGCAGCCTGAGATTTCTCCTGTCTTTACACACACACACACACACATGCGCACATAATAGACCTGCAGTGCCTACCAATTTGCATATTTTACCTCCAGACAAACAGACCAATATTCAGAACACTTTATGACTAATCTCACGCCCCATCCAACACTGTATAACCTCATTTGTTGATAAAGTATCAATAAGCTACAAATCAACTGATTTCTAAAAACAAATATGAATAAATAATTTGTATAAATTATTTTTGATGCTTCAGAGCTAACAGTTTCTTGCACAATCCATTTTTCCAAGCACAAAGTATGATCTTTGTAACTGAAGTTCATGCAATACTGAAGAACAAACATAATAAAAGCATTGTGGTCACCTACATCACTCACCCCATCCGTGCGCAGGATTTTTGATTTCAGCCACGAAAGGTAGTAGACGCGAACACGATTCTTCTTTCCCGAGATGGTCACCAAAATGTTCTGACCCTCCAGAACTTCCATCTGCTGGAAACGGCGCCTTGAAATGAGCTGATACACCTTGCCCTGACCACTCCGGTCTAGCAGCATCAGACCATTCTCTGTCCCAATCAGCAGGTTCACTCCTGTGTCATACAATTTCAGAAGTTCAGAAGTTCCATTCCTTTGTCCCTCAAAGATACATTGTCAAAAATTGAAGTTCGGAGACTTCAACATTACTTACCCCAGAGAGCAGCGCAGAGTATCTCAGAATTGAACCTCTTCTTGTACTTGCGAATTTCAGGCGTGTCGGAGCCCACATCATGTGACGTGGGCGTCACATTTACGTTAACGTGCGACTCCCGGCGTGTAGGGCCAGAACCGCCGGCACCAAATCCAAATGTGAGAAATGAACGCTGTTTCTGTTGAAGGGGATGAGGAGGTGACTTAGATACAGCCTGGCGATACTGCAATCCAAACAATTCGCATAAAAACAAGGAAAAGAAAAACGCACCCAGCAAGCATTCCCATCTGCAGTCATTTGTTTCAGCTAAGATACACCTTACAAATCTGAAACAAAGTAGGCCGTACTTTAGCAGACTTTCCTTTCATGTAAAGCAAATACTGGAAATTAAATCAAACTCTAGGTTCAAGTGAACAATTTTGCTACTTTAGTGAGGAAAGGAACCCTAGTCTCCAATTTCCCGTGCAAGCATCTTACCTACCACATTACAAAGGAATATGCCCTTACGACAGCAACATAAATCAAGTGGTTGCTTTAAATAAGACAGAGGTTCACTTTGATAGGCTTAACAACATCAGCTGTGAATCATGGCTCACGTACAGTCCAGCCGGCCATGCATCTCAACAGCATACTGCTGAACTATTACACAGGAGTTAAGTCTTGGAGGCAGCCCCATAGTACAGGGGTATACATCCCCTAACCTTTTTATGGAGACACATCAAACGTAGGAACAAAACTGCTTTTTCCTCTTAATCACAAACAAGAAAAGATTCAGAACTTCAAGGTTATAAATGAGAAATCTCATGTAGTCAGAATCTGTCCTGGTGAAAACTATGCAATAGAAATGGATCACTGACTGTGTTGTTATTAAAGTACAGATGTTGCTGACCTCACCAGCAGGCACAACAAATCCTCTTCTGGATCCCAAGTCTTTCCCACGCCATCTTGTAAATTAAATGAAATAAAACAGCACTTTTCCTGAAATGTCTTATAGAAAACATACACTACCCTTCAGGAAATACAAAGCAGAGTATAATGAGCTTTGAAAATTCAAAGTACCAGTAATATTTTTGCGTGTGGCTAGGAAACACAATGTTCTGTGTAAATTTCTGAGATGTATAAAAATTATCACCTAAAGTATCAAGCAAAAACTGAATTGTAACTAAAGCACAATACTTTCCATTCAATGACAAAACGAAACACTGAAGTCCACTGACATCCGAAGGTAGATTATCTCCTGAACAGTAATGTCTGTTTATACCAATCTCTTTTCCATGATAACACAGATATTATCCCAGCTCTTACCAGCAGGGTAACGAGAAATGGCCTCTGTATGCAACACAAAATGGACAGACATAGGAATAAGAGGCCTAATTTTCATAAGTATAGACTAATTACATTCAGTTTCCAAATAGAAAGTTTAAAATGTAGCACTGCTGACCCGTTCATAAAAATCAGACATGTAAGTGCATGGACCAACAGACAAACAAATGTGATGGTACCAAAGCCTGTATTTCCTTACAAAATAAGGAATCCAGGTTGAAAACTGAGCTTTCATAGCTCCTGTTAGGAGGGACTAAGGAAACTCACAGATCCATGATAGCCAACAAAATGTGAATACACCTGTACAATAGTTTGCCTACGGTGACATGTTTAACAAACATCACACTGAGGAAAACCAAGAGCTTCAGTGGCAGAAAGCAGATACAGTGTCAAGTGCAAAATCAAGACCTTCGAGTACTGATGTCACATAAAATACACCTACATCTTGTGTTTTAAAATACTAACTCTGTATTCTTAAATTCAATTTGAATAAGAATAGCTCAGTCAATATAGTGAACAGCTATGGGCTGGACGACCGGGGTTCGATCCCCGATGGGGGCAGAGGATTTTTCCTCTAGCCTCTTGTCCAGACAGGGTCTGGGGCCCACCCAGCCTCCTATCCAATGGGTACCGGGGTCCTTTCCTGGGGGTAAAGCGCGGCTGGGGCGTTATGCTGACCACTCACCCCCATCTAGTGCCGCGGTCAAGAAAGAGTAGGAGCTATACCTCCACTCCCCCCGAACGACCTACATGGCGTGTAGCGGGACGGCTTTACTTTAAGTTTCAGACAGTTTCTCGGATGAGCCAACCATCACTGGCGAAGTGATAGGATATAACAGTTAATTGATAAATTGAACAGACAAGTTTGCATCACACAACTGTTAAGCATAATCAACACCATTACTCACAGGCTACACAGTTCATTGAGGAATGTGATTTTACAACATAAAACACAAGAATAGTTTAAATATAATTTACAGTGCCTACCCTGCTACAATTATGCAAATACTAGCATAATTTACAACAGGCTCTGAAAATTGCAGTACCACAACAGGACGAAATTTTCGTCATACAGCACTGCTTTCCTGCTATTAAATGTGCTAAATGCCTAATGACCAGTCGAGCGACTCTCGGTTACAACCAACCAAACGTACTTGTCTGAGCTTCAGCACGGTAGCTTGAAAAGACACATGTAACTGTGGTAAGAGAGTTAGTGAAGCCAAATGAATATGGAATATCAAAAGCTCTTCAAGCATACTGATTAGAGATACAAGATAAAAGCACACATTTTGTTAAGAAATTCAAGAAAAGATAAAAATAACTGTTAATATCCTTATGATTACTAATTAGATAAGATATAATATGTGCATACTTACATAGTAATTAGTATATTCTTGATTCCATTTTGCCCCCCGCCCGTTAGTGGGTTTTTGCACCAAAGAAGAGACAATTAAAAAAGTATTAGTGCTTGCAAACAAAAAAAGTGCAGTTAAAAGTAACGTATAATTACTGGACACACTGTACAACTTCTGAATCGGAGAGCAGAGGGCAAAAAATGTACCGTAATGATCAATCTTTGTGGAAAACGTCTGGCTAGATGCACACATTTTGCGAAATCATCAATCATTTTCATTTTACGTGATTTTAACTGAATTGTCAGTGAAATAATAACAAAATTTCTCTCTAACAGGGTATTAAATGGTATAATTCAACAAATTACACTGTAATGTTACCAGCCAGCACATATTCACATACTTCAATACACTAAATATCCAGACAATAAAATTATTATTATAATATTGAAAGGCACATGTAGTCAACTCCAGATGATACCACCATTCTTTAACTAATTGTAACCAAATTTGGCAAGAAGGCAGCATACCAACAAACAACGGTACAACGGCAGCAAATGAGAGGAAATTAGAACGTTTCTTTTAAATGTATAGAACTGCCAATAATTTCAACCGTACAGCAATCTTGAATTTACACTTCGTTTTGACAAAGTTGTTACAGACATTTACAAGAAAACAAATCTGACCATATCTATAAAATATCTGCTCACTGGTGAATTAATACATTCTGAAAAATACTGATATCTATTTTGTTAATGTGTTTGTCGTGTCATGAGCAATTCTGCAAAGCTTCCGTAACCAACAAGACGGATCATAATCTCTATAATACTGGTTTCATGTGAATTAATGATTAAAATAAATCAGCCTCAAATTAATATACCATCTTACAAGGCCTACCAAAAAACATGCCAAACTACACTAAAGCCATCACTCGAATCACACACAAAATCATTTCACATTTCCTTTACTGAAATAAACAAATAATTTAATTAAATAAATTACAACAAAAAAACTAATTTAAGAAATTGCCTGTAAGTGTATTAATGGGGAACACACTCATTAATTCTTCTCAACATATTTCCCTTGCATGAATTTTATTTGTTCATAAATCTACTAATAAGAATCCCGTCATGATTGAACTGTGATGCTGCGTAGCCTTGCATGGGGTTATCTATCTATGTTATCTATCCTGAAGATGGAGGTAATACATTATATTTATGATTAATATACCAATCATAAAACTTCAGAGGTATAAAAATACTAATACGACTGGAACAAATTTAATTTTGCCAATGAGCACAGAAAGAAAAATCCAAACCGAATCTACCATCAATGAAAATAATTGACAAATGTTGCAGAGACTAAAGTTCGTTCAATTTTAAGAACAAATGCAAGTACAGAGTTTACTCTCTTAACATAGAATAAATTTCAGACTTTTAATGTGGAACCTATTAGGACCATTTTTCAAGATTTACAGCATTTCCATTTTATTCAGAAGTCAAAATGTTTTAACTTGTTGATCTGGAAGTCTCACAGGTAAACTTGATACCGTCTACTGTGTCATTATCACTCGCACGCGTCTACCCTCGCCGAAGTCAGTCTACTATATACAGAACGAAACAATCACATTCTCAAAGTGTAGAGACTTGGGTCTTGGCACCCTGGTACTATGAGGCCCACATCTCTCGTGTGTTGCTGCTGGTATGGTGTTTAGTTCTGGCACTGTTACATGACTAACATTTAAGATATTCTGCAAGTGTTTGGTATGTGGTAAAAGATAAGAGAAATTTGAATGTGATATTACATATTTCAGAAAATGGAAAGTTAAATATCCTGCCACTCTTTCACTAAGCTTCTTAGACATGACTGACCAGTGCTTCTAGCGTCTATAGATTTCTGGAACCAATGAGCAATCACTCCAACTCACACTTTATATGGTCGATGAGTGTGGATTTTGTAGCTCAGTTCATGCCAAGAGGTTCTGTTTTCTGCAGCCATAACACAAACATTTTAAGAAAGAAAAAAAATTTGATGTGAAAGCTTGCATGGCAACTGTATTAAGACGATGAAGGGTAAATGCAACAAAATACAACATGTAAGTTCACTGATCTTGCAGTTGGGTTATATGCAAGAAGACACATGAAACAAATAGTACACATTCCAGTACCAGAATCCAAGAACATCACATCTTGACTGTGCTGGAAAAGCATTTCAAATCTAGTGACGTGTTTATGCAATATATCTTAAGGTACACAATGTACTTCAGACAGAATAAAAGTAACATGGACGGTACCATTCAATAAAGCATAACATCTTGCAATGAAACATGCAAGCAAAATTGCACAAAAATCAAACTCTTGAGCAATCAAACAAAAAAAAAAAAGCACATGAAAAGTACGCATATGTGCATCTGCTACATAATATTAACATCCAAGTCCTTTTTATATCCCCCTGTAGTGCTACCCTTCGTATTGACGCGTTCTCACCAGCGCTACTCTGCCCCCTACAAACACACATCTCTAAGTGAGGAGATGGCACTCTACTCACTGGGATGTAGCGTGGTTATCTTTGTCTGATCAAATTTAATGGAAAGTGACATGAGAGCATGCACATACAATTTATCACCTGCTTTTGCTCCAGAAAAACGTGCCGCAATTAATTCGGCCATACTTAGATTCACAAATTGGACAAAATGCACAGGAACAAAACTAATCAGTTAATTCACTTCTCTCTTCAACTTAATATTTTACGTTTCATCAGACAGACAAGAATTCATGCTCTGAACCAGTACCCTAGTGCATCATTCCTAAATCAGGTACAACATAAGACAGTGCACAAATGTTTTTCTTGTACCTATGATTATAAAGAGCAAAACATTTCTTCCGCATTATTATAAACGTAAGTAATTTGCAAGCATCAAGAAAGATGTAAATACTTCTGACAGAAAAAAATATTTTACACTGTTACTTAGAAACAATCCGAAAATACATCTCAATAAAACAGAACTCATTCCTGTCTCAAATAAAACCACGAGGAATAAACTTTGTTAATATATCAGTGCTGAAACTTCCCTGTGCTTTCCCACCACAATTATTATCCAAACCAAATATAAAACAATTAGTGGCACATTAAAAGAGAGTTGAGAATTTACCCTCACCAATCCTAATACATTTACAATACAGACACTAAACACCTTCATAGATCGCTGAAGGAGTAAGTGTCGACTATAACTCATAACCTCACAATGTAATCATATTGGACACTTTCAATAGTTTGAGGTATATTTAGTATGCATGACATATCTGAAGCTGGCTCTATACTCACCTTCAGCCGAATGGTTGTCATTACACTTTTACATTTAATATTAACTGTCAGTACAATGGCATCCAGTCACTCGTAGCGAGCAGCAAACTCAACTCTAAAAATGTCATTCATACTAATTACGCGACAAACATTCTGTAAATTAACAACCACATAATCTACAGCCACATCACAGAGTCTGTCGAGTTAGTTTCAAGAAACGAGTCTTACCTCTTCACTGGTAGATTTGTCCTGTCTCTGGTTTGGGGTACCTGGACTTGAGGCAGTCTGTAAAGAGACAACAAAATATCAGAATATGACCTGTGCAGTCATTCTTTAGACTCAATATTTCAACAACGGCTCAGCGAACTCAAAATATAGCCTGTGTCTAGCTGCAATGAATCACCAGTTACTGATTCAACTGTTCACTGCATTATTCAACACATTAAACAAAATAGCCTGTACAGAACATGTGCATTTTTTAGAGACATATTAATATATATATATATACACTACACTGAATTGTGGATCAAAGATGGGCTCTTGTAAACATGGTGAAGAACCCCGAGGTTCCAAAATACCCAAAAATTTCTTGACCAGCTCAGTAACTGTCAATGAGGTCATACAGAATGGCACAACCTCCTATTAATTTTTATCCCAATCCGTCCAGTGGTTCTTCAGTAGAATCAACTGGACTGACGGATGGTTGGACAACGCATTCTCCCCATGCATTTCATGCAAAGAATGTGTATCAAATATTCCTTGGGCATTCTATTACATTTTGGCTTTAAAAATTAAAATATACAATCAGTTCAAAAGTTATGTTTTTTATGAAGAGCTGTGTACTTGTTTTGAATGTGAGCATGAAATGGGATGTTAATGTGTCAATATTTAACATGTATGGGAAAGGTAAAAACATAACAGCAATAATGCAGTTCATAAAACTTGCCTGCGTAAGTAAGTCAGGCAAAACTGAGCTTGTGCGGGATCCAGGAGTCCCAAGCTGGCCTGGTGACGAGTCCATGCGATGGAAGTCGCCACGTCGGTCCTCACGATTCTGCCACAACAGTAAAGTTACACTTTATGTATACTAAAACGTTCTCATGCCCCAAATAACTTGCTAACCTCGTTCAGTCACCAAAAAAATTGGAACAGTTTCAAAAATTTAAATGTATCACACACTTTCAAATACAAAGAAAGGCTTCAAATTTCACCGACATAAATAAAAGAAGCTAGCACAATGAACTTAAAACTCTATATTCTAGTACAATGAAAATGACAGAGCATGAAAGTTAAATGACAATAAATGAGGGAAATAAAAGCACTGATGAATAAACCAATTCAATATAAAATAAGACCCATCAGCCTCTTCAAGCAGCAGGGATAGCACAAGACTTTAATGGGCCAGCAACTGGAAAAGGTGAATGATGAAAGGTGGACAGAAGGCAACAGTTATGAACCTAAGCAAAGCTTCAAACTGATTAATTAATTAATTATTATTATTATTAATCAATTATTAACTGGTATGTAGGAGCTGAGGTTTTCACGGCAGTGAGTCTAAAGAAAACTGAGAGGCATTAAATTCTTGTAAACAACTACAGGCAGACAATACTTACTTTTCATGGAAAAATATAAAAATTCCCACCTGATGCATATTTTAAAGTTGGTGGTGTTACTCAGCTATCATAATTTGGGATGGTGGGGGAAATTTTGTGGTTTCACCTTTTGTTGAAAAACTTATATAACAAGGAGAAATATCACTACAAGAATACACATACCTTACTGAGTCCACCACAAAATAAATTATATCATAACGAAATTGTGTGAAAAAGCTCGCAATTGATACGCATTTTAGTACAGCGGAGGTCTGATCTTTTCAAAAGCTGTCCTTACAACCCATCAGTCTTTATTAACTGCAAAATTAAAGCAGAGACTTACAGTAATAAACCAAGCAAACAAAAATAAACAACAAAGCAATTTAACTGTGGAATCTTACACAGAAATATAAAAACAGGACCAGGTTTTAATTTTGCGGAAACATGAATACGACATATGGTTAAGAATCATTAGTAAAGTAGATAATTACTTTATTCTAAAGAGGCTTCAAATTTTGTAAAACAGAATAGCAAAACCTTCCACTTGGTGCCAAAATGACAAAAAGCAAATTAAGCAAGAACTAAGTTAGATAACATGCTGTGAAAACGAGCAGCAATATCTGAAATACACTGAGCAAACATGCATGCTGTCAAAAATATGTATTACAGCACAGCATTAAGCAACATAAATATACCCACATGTTACTTCTATGCTTTCGAAAATATTAAGAAGTTAAAAAATGATATAGAACACATTACCATCTCCTACATCAACATCACGATAAATCAAATAAGCAAAATAAAGCAATAAACAGCTGGAGTGAAAGGAAGCAAGGCAATGAGATGACGAGAATATAAGCAACCCCTCACCAGCCACAGACTTAAGCGTCTGTGGTTTTTAATGCACGTTAAGTTCTGCCAACTGCAATATCTGGTTGCACATATTCACAGCTTCCAACATGTGCAGGGGGCTTCTTTCTACACCTACAGACCCGCAATTGCTGGGGACAGGGCTGTAATAGTATCTAAAACCAGTTTTCTATCTTCTAGATCAGTGGTATTCAACCTTTTTTGTTCGCGTACCCCCATATATAATTTCTCTTCAACTTTGTACCCCCAAAGTTGTTGGTGTATAATTCAAGTTATACAAAGTATATAATATACATCTAAAATAAATTAAATAAATTACATTACTGATTATTCAGTGTTTATCACAAATAAATATTTTTTTTTTTAAATTTCACGTACCCATAAGATTCTTCGCGTACCCCATGTTGAATTCCACTGTTCTAGATCACCACTGCAATGCCATCTTTTATATTATTAATATGATGTACTATTTCTAAACAAGCTGTTACGTGTTTTGTCATCAGTGAAGAAACAGGCAATTTAACGTTGGTCATGATCCCCTAATCCCCTTCATCTTACCTAACTTCTGCAGTTGATAAGGGATTGCTGTAAGGACAAACAACATAAGCTCAAAGCTATAAAGACCCCCCAAGCCAACTCTTAATGTGGATGCATCTCAAATGTTTCAACTAATATCACCAATACTCTACACAAATCCAGCATGACGAAACATGTGTGACAAGAATTTATAGACATACAACAGCTGCTAACCTCAACACTGACTTGAATTCATAAACCAACCATCACATTAAAATGAATGTACTAATGATCAAAGATCTGCAGTGAGGTTACAGTTTACTTACCATGTTCAACAATGACTTTCTATACATGACATGACCATAACAAAAATTATAATCATTATAAATATACGAAAATATTATATTAAATAAGTTGGCAAAGACTGAAAATTGGGATCTTATGAAAGAGGCAAACCACTTCATACACTGCCAAAGCAGTAAGTTGTGATGAGCTAATTTACACTGCAAGCCGCTGGCCTCCAAAAACTAAACAGGACAGTCTAACAAACACATTTACAGCATCCATCTACATCACAGAGCATCAGTACAGTCACACACAAATACAAGCTAACAGCAAAGGAGCATCCCGACCCACATCACATTTACTGACATTACTGTAATGGCAAAATGCAAGATCACAAACTGGCCACATCTACGTCTGTTTATGCAGAGAAGCCTGCAAAATAATTCAAAAGCATCAAACATTTGCAAAATATTATGTTTAGTCACATATGAAACTTTCAAACAATGTTATAAAAAGAGAAGAAGGAAAAAGGAAACAGGTCAGTAAAAACAAACCAGACAAACACGATAACAAAAAAGTCAAAAGTGGAATAGGCCCCAGTTGCTGATGGCACATTTTGCTTCCTCCATGCTCAACAGGGTGTGAAATGATGACGGAGCCTCACATGCTGACTTCCTTCAATCGTTAAAAGCTGTCACTACGGGAATTTTTGAAAATGTTGCATGCTGCATTCTTCTTTGAACTAAGTTTGCTGGAACATATATGTTGCCGACTCTGTTCCGCTTGCTCATGTAACTCAACAATATCTTCAGATTCTCCATCGTCCATGCAGCGAAGTCTCCGGTATCTGTCTTAGTTTGGCACGCTGTGCAACGGTGTCATTCAATTTGACTGAGGAAATTGTTACATTTATTACTAATATCAGAGTACGTATTTAAAAAACCATACATTTCAGATCTCTTCATGCATCTAGTAACCTCAATTCAACCCAGTTCTCTTGCTTTAAAAGCTGTGGGTAAGTCTTCCATGGTAAGCTGGGTAGTGCACAAAGCATGTACATTCATTTTCAGAAAAGATGAGTCAAGCATTTGACAAAAATATACAGTGCCCAATTCTACTGTATTCTCTGCAGAAGAAGTGCTTAGAAGGTGCCACAGAAGGTGAGCCGTATGACGACGCATAAACAGTATGTTCATGATTCTGTCTGCAGCTTCCAGAATATAGTTCTCAAGACACATTTCACCCTTCTTTCCACTTTAGGTTAGTACACATTCTCACACAATGTAACCTCTTTCGTATGCATGAAGTTCATTTTCAGCATCACAGAATGCAATCAAAGAAGATGAAGAAATTGTTTGTAAAGTTGGAGGTTTTCATTCCATGCTTTTCTCGCAAGCAGTAAAAGAGTTAGTTTGGTTTTGCAAATCACACAAATGACACACGGTAAGAACAGCAGCACACAAATTTGGATATACTACATAATTATTTTCCACCCGCCAGACTGCAATTCTCCAAGCACTGAATGACAGCTGTGAGAGGTTACTCTCTTAAAATCAGCATTTCAAAATATTGCCATAAAAAGTTACATCAGGGAAGATACTTTTAAAAAAATTTGGAAAAATATGTTTTATATTGTGGTACTGTAGCAACCAATTTAAAAGTTCTAAAAATATGAAGTCTATTCCTAAGATGGGAGGCTTTGATAAAACAATTTACACGCTGTATTTCCATTGTTCCATCAATCCTATAATGGCTGGAAACATAGTTGAAAGATAGGTTGCTGGCTGGCTCATAAAATATGATGCCAACACTTAGACAGATACTTACAACATTACTAAATTGTATGTATGAGTGAAATGTTTTAAAATAATACACTTGTGGGTATACTGTGTAAACTACAATAAAAGTATTCAAGCAAGTGATACAGAAACTAATTCTGGTGATAGTCAAAGAGGAATAGAGTCAGAAGTAGCAACATATGTAAACCTACGTTAGATGTACCAAAACTGGCATGCCTTCTCCTCATCTGTCTATTACTTGTCTCAACCAATGCGACATCACAACCTCTCGTCTCAACTTGACCGCACTAACCTGTCGCAGGCCGTAATCTTCCCTCCCTCCTGTACCTGCACCACCAAACTCAGAGGCAACATTACTGCTGCTTCCCACGTCCACAAGTGGGCGGCTGTTACGTCTCTGCGCGCGCTCGGCTTCCCGAGAGAACCTCTGCTCCACATCCAGTCGCCTCGCCTGCAGTTCGTCTCGAAGCTCCTGCCGATTCCTGAGCAGAACAATGTCCCCCTCTGTTTTCTCCCTACGTGGCCTGACAGGATGGTCCACAATAGCCGAAGCATGTTCATTGGCAGCTTTGTTCAGACTGAAATCCGTGAGGATGGGTTCTCCATTCTTGGTACCTGAACTACTCCCTCCCTTTTTACCACCAGCAAGGATATTCAGGCCTGACAGTGCAGATACTCCACCAGCAATGTCTGAACCACGACGCCCATTTCCTGAGAACAGGAGACCGCCACCACCACCCCCACCTCCAGAACTTGTATTATTCTTTGATTCCAGTAACACAGCTGAATGCCTGGAAGATGCTGGAAAGAAATCAGAGTTCTCTCGCCTGAAACCACCATAAGGTCCACTTATCCTTGAATCCGATTCATTTCGCCGATGATGGGGAATGACACCCTTCTGTTCTGCTGCCGTGGAACAAATTTTTTTAGTGGGTCCAATCCCATGATTTTGCTGATTCTTTTTCTCAGCAGATGTTGCACTACTCTTTTTGTTGGCACTAACATCCTGATTGTTACCACTGCATTGCTGCATTTTCACTGGACTTCCACTCTTTTCACTTGCTTCAGAATTATTTGTTTCCAACTTCATTTTGTCCAAGCGCTCATTGAAACCTTGGAAGAACCGAGCAAAGTCCCAATCCTTAAGTAGCAACTGTTCATCAAGTTCTGAATGCCGGTTCTGCTGTTGCAATCGTGCCGAGGCTTCTTTCTGCTTCGTCCATATGGGAATCACAATGATAACATAAATCCAAAGTGGAAATTAAGTAACATGAAAATAATATGACAACTAACCTATGTTAACTAAACTTACTATTATACTTTTAAAAAATGAAGAGTGGTTACCTAACTATATTTACAACAAGACAAGGTGCTGAAGCTATGAACTTTGGTTAAAAATCACAGAGACCATATTAATAAAGAGTGAAGCTTATAAAGTACATTAATACCCAAGTGAATCACTGAGCCAATACCATGAGAAGTTAATGCACGATACTTACGAAGGGCAAGGAACATTTCTGGACAATATAAGAACACTAGAGCGAGTAATCTGTCCACCAACGACAAACCGAAGGGATGAGGCACATGATCTGGCTCCAATACCAACCATTTACCCAAGCACGTAAGACTACTGGCTATTAAAATTAAGGATAAACGTGACTGCATTTTAATCTCTCCACACCAAAAGTAGTAATGAAGACAAAATTAAACCAAAACCATCTGGACTCATGTGAGTTTTTAACCAAATAAACCAAAATGCACCAAATTAATGATGAAAGGGTAACGCATTGTTCGCCGTATAAGCACCATACTGACACATTACTCTACTGCCCACTGCACATGCACCCACTCAAAACTGTATAAGTGTGGCAAAAAATGAAAGGGATGCGGCAGAGACAATTTAAAAGTAACAAATGCTAGCCGATGTAAACAGGCAGAAAGATAATTAAAAACTGGGCATGGGTACAAACTTCAGAATTACAATTATCTTTCACATTACATTTTTTAAAATACTTTTAATTGACAATGGCCTGCAAGATTTGATGCATCATCTGACATTCTCTCACATTTCTTATCATCGCATTTGAGAAACATTCAGAACTTCAGTCAAATTATATGCATATGCCTATTCATGATAAATACCTTTGTTGTTATGATCATCATCTGCGAAAATGGCCGATTTATTATACCAATATTATGTTGGGCACTGTCCACTGTCTGATGTGAATTTGATACACACTCAAATTTGGGAGTTGGCCCCATTCCTAACTTCAGGTAATTTTCATTACATTAAAAAGCATAACACAGACCATAATTTTGAACTATGCGGCCACACTGATCATATTTTAGGCATAAAATTGTCATTTTTCCTGCTCAATAATTCTAATAAAATTTCACTACTTTATAGAAAGTGCAGCTCCAAATATCAAGTGCAGAAACTCTTCTGTACCTCTACACACTTAAGTTTGCAGTGCATATGTGTACTGCATTCCAATGTACAATAGCAACACTGAATTCAAGATGTTATAACCTGATTGACTGAATAAGGTTGCATGCACTTCAAAGCACTTTATATCTGAGTCTTAATCTATGAACAAGCACAATGAGCTTTAAGATTTCACACGTTTCAGCAGAAAAACAAGAAATGACAAACACACAATTTTTTAAACAGACTGCATTCCACATCTAAAGTACCTAAACACAAAAAACAAATATGAAACAGGGCTACATCTAAATATCAGTCATGCCAATTCTTTATCTGAAGTATTTGAATGGCTTTGCTAGGTCTTCAAAAGGAAGAAAATTATTAGTTGTTTCAAAATATTTGCCTTAAGAAACTGGGCCCATTGGAACAGCAAGCCATCCTAAAATTGGGTTCACGGGGTGGGGGGAGAGAAACAGGTAGAACAGCTTATCAATTATGTTTAGTACAGGTACAGGCCACACCTGAAACCTGGACGTAATGGTGAACATTTGGTGAACTAGTTTATGGTTGTCTTGAAGGAAAAATTTCCAATGCTTCATGGAAAAACTTTCTGCAGGTTTTAGGAAATTAAACATGGTATTAGCAGAAGTATGCCTGTTATAATAGTGAGTATATATATATTTTAGTTTCTTCTGTTATAAAAATAATTGGGTTTGCTACATTGCACACAAATACAAAGGGAACAATACACTATGCACAGTGAAATACCATCTGAAAATAAAAATTCAGACAGAGTGAATGATTTTAATTGGAACCTAAATAAAATTCATTCTAAAATTACATACCCCTGCAATAGACCCTACCTCGCAAAACCTGGAGAGAAAAAAACAGAAGTACCGACACATTTCCCACCTGCATGATGTAAGTCCTCTGGTAGATAACGGCTACCACACAGTCAAGTTTCCTGTCACTATAACATTGAATAAGTGGTGCGCTAACTACAATTTACAATCGACACACTTCCAATCCCATAGAACACTGGTAACATTTTGAACTTTGGGGATATTTTGCATGGCTTGATCCTTACTAGCCTGGTATGATGCCTACTCATCGCCCTTATGATGGAGGCAGCAAGGACCTCTGAAACATTGCTGAACTTCTACCAGACTATACAGTGCTACAACCCAGAAGACAGCCATCTTCGTACTCACTCAAATCCTACTATGATGCCGTTTATTCATCCCAAAGAAGAAAAGAATTGCATTGTGAATGCTTTCTTTCACACATTGAATGCAAGACTTTCTTGAAACACCAATAAATAAACTACGCATAAATTCCCAACCTGAAAGGCTACTAGCAGCATGAAGAAAAGTTTGAATGCATGTGATTTGGAACAAAGTTTACTGAATTCAGACAGTGACAGTTAAAAAAAAAAAAGGAGAGTGGTGTTGCTATTTACACATTTTAAATGAAAAAGCACGCCAAATTTGTGGGGACAGAATAACAGTCAATTTGATTTCAGGATGGAGTACACAAATTACATTTTACAATTTTGTTAAAATATTTCTGAATAATGAATTTTGGGAGTACAACCATTATCCAGAACAATTCATGTTCATAGTAGTGGGCCTTAGTAAGTGTTCAAATGGTCTACTGGATCTAACAGAGTACGTCTCCCTCTATACCCTTTGAAACACAGCGATTTGTAACATTTATTTCCCCACATCTACATTTGCAGGTGGGAGATCTGTCTTTAGCTGCTACTGACAGCCAACAAAATACATAAAGATAAAAAAATACTGAACTGTGCCACTTATACTTGCTTTGGGTGGGAGCGGGACCCAAAGTTAATATTAAGCCTTGTCCTGCTACTTCCTGCCAGCAAGACGGAACGCATAACATGTCCCATTACTTACCCTCTTCATCACAAGGGTTCTGTCCCCGCTCTCTTCCTCATCTGGCGTAGGAGGAAGAGGCCTGTTCGGGGCTCCACTTGATGAAGGACCTGTTTGTGAACAGTCAGATACAAAGTTCACACAACCCAACAAAAATCACACGACACTGTGTGGAAAGAATTAATTATAATTCCCTTGACTTTGAAGTACTGCTGCTGTGATTTGGGTGGAGCCAATATGTTACAATGCAGCACGGAAGCCTGTCCTACCAGCAATAAAGCTGATAGTGGAATGAGTTTCAGAACAAAATGTGTTGTACTGTAAACAGTGAGGAGTTGTAGAATATTATTCATAACGACGTCTTTACCACCTGGGGGAGGGGGCGGGGGGTTTAAGGCTCAACCAAGAAACCTATTTTTTCTTCCCATATCACTGGAGAACAAGACAGGCACACGACTGAGAGAAATTATCTTCTTCCTTCTAGACGAGTTACCAGAGAGGCAAGACTATCCTGCGGGGGGGGCGGGGGAGAAACAAACATGCACTTCATTTTCTCTGCATTTACTTCAAGACCAACTTTCCTCTCTAGCATCTAATACAGCTTCCACAGTTTCTTTTTGTGACACATATGTTTTCACCAAATAAATTATCATCAGGACGGAACAGACGCTGATACATCCCTTTCAATTCCAATCCTTTTCATTTTGTAGGATCTTCTCAATGGTGTAATATAAGGCATAACTGTAGAACATTGGTGATAAAAGCATCTCTGTTTTAAACCATTCTCAATAGGAAACTCGTTAGTCAAATGTTTCACCCTGACACAAGAAATAATACTTCGCCTTCGTCAGTCTACGTGAAGCAATTTTCACAAGAAATAGGCACTGTATATACATGCACCTTCATTTCTGGTACTGCTGCAAATAAAACATTATAATTATAAATTGTAGCAGTTCTTTTAAATAATTCTATTCTATATGACAATTACTTGGATCATGAAGTGCTGATATTTTATCCCTAAAATATCAAAACTGGTGCTATATATTTCTAATCAAACATACAGCAAGGAGCTTTAAAGATCCAGACTCTTAAATGACTGAACTAAGTAACAAAATTCCCATAACACAGTACTTCTTTACAGAAAAGTTTTACTTTGCAAAACAAAATGAAAATCAACTCACCTTCATGAATTACCATTGTCTGGGGCGTGTGAGAAGCATCCAGCGGCCTGTAAGGAGAAAGTTCGGGACTGCAGCAACAAAAGTCGAGACAAAGAGAAAAGAATGAATGGGACAGACGGAAAATGGCCGAGAAGAGGGAAGGCAGGAAAAGAAAAACTTGTATTAATAAGGCTCAGACATTTTAATTAGTATAAGGCACATGGAGTCATTATGAAAACACTTCAATAGATGAGAAACTCCAACTTACATTTGTATTAAAATAACCATTTTAACTGAACCTTCCAGTGTCAGCTAGCAAAGAGATTGATTTTTTTTGGTTAACAATCCTAGGATTGGTTTGCAACCCCATTTTGGGATTGTTTCTTGCGAAGATATCACGGTGGTTTCGCCTTGCCTTCCGTGGCCAGTCTTTATCCATCAGACTGGAAGAGAATGGATGCGGACAAACATCCATGCCTTGAGTGGGACTTGAACCCAAAGTCCCAGCGGCCAGGAGCACGAGGTCCCTGCCTCAGACCGTGTGGCCACTGCTGCCGGCCACGAGATTGATATATACCAAATAGTACACGTTTTTATTTTTCAAGTTTTTAAGATAAACTGACAAATTCTGTTACATAAGCAACATGCTTTAAACATTTATTTACCTCACCACTGCTGGGGCAGTTTCTAAATTGTATGAATATCAAATACTTCCAAATAACAATCAATAAAGTCAGACACAAAAGACTACAGACAGAACTGGTTCTGGTGCTTCATTAAAATTTTTATCAGCAATGAAATCACTGTTATACTGGTTATGTAAATGTATTAAGTGACAGAAGAGGCAGCTTATTCCCAGAAAATTGTGGTAAGTTAAGTGGCCTAGATTAGCAATGCATGTGAACGTAATCACTTACAGTGGTTTCGGGGGGTCACTAGCCAACAGGGTACCATCATTGCGAACGCCTATACCATCTTCCCCTTCATCTGAATCTGACTCGACAGCTGCATCCAGGATAGAAGACGTGGACTGCGGAAGGGAAGAGGGTGGTGCCGGGAGGGCACTGTGCGATGAACTTCCTCCAACAGCCGACAACGAAGACTTTCCATTCTGCCGTGACCGGGCTGGCGCCTCTGGCTGGGCAACGCCCAATTCATTCAGCTGAGCAGCCAGCATGTCCAAATCCTGGGGCATTACAATGCAAACCATTACAATGCTGAGCATGTCTATACTAACATCAACACAAACAAATCAGGAACAAGTTACAGAACACTACTGATAAGCAAAATCAAAGCCACTTCAAGTTCCAAGAAAAATTCCTTAAAGAACAGTTCACTGAAATGCTGATAATGCAATTCGGTCTTCTTGGGTGACCAAATGTGTGAGGAAAGAGTTGGATGATGTTAACTCTTTTCTCACATGGCAATCACCAGATAAATTCCTGTGAATACTTCATATCCGTAAGTACAATGTTATTTTCTGCATACAATGTAAAAACATCTTCCATTCTAAGTTCCACAATTATGTTTTCAATTAAGTAAAACCTTAATCGCCAAATCAACTAACAAGTTCCTCAATTTCAGATCACAATATTTGTGTTACACTCATCATGCCATACTTTTATTTTCCGTCGTTACACAAGCTTATTGTTAAAAATCATATAAAATTTCACATAAAATTGTTACATTTTAAAATGTAACAATTTTATGTGAAATTTTATATGATTTTTAACAATAAGCTTGTGTAACGACGGAAAATAAAAGTATGGCATGATGAGTGTAACACAAATATTGTGATCTGAAATTGAGGAACTTGTTAGTTGATTTGGCGATTAAGGTTTTACTTAATTGAAAACATAATTGTGGAACTTAGAATGGAAGATGTTTTTACATTGTATGCAGAAAATAACATTGTACTTACGGATATGAAGTATTCACAGGAATTTATCTGGTGATTGCCATGTGAGAAAAGAGTTAACATCATCCAACTCTTTCCTCACACATTTGGTCACCCAAGAAGACCGAATTGCATTATCAGCATTTCAGTGAACTGTTCTTTAAGGAATTTTTCTTGGAACTTGAAGTGGCTTTGATTTTGCTTATCAGTAGTGTTCTGTAACTTGTTCCTGATTTGTTTGTGTTGATGTTAGTATAGACATGCTCAGCATTGTAATGGTTTGCATTGTAATGCCCCAGGATTTGGACATGCTGGCTGCTCAGCTGAATGAATTGGGCGTTGCCCAGCCAGAGGCGCCAGCCCGGTCACGGCAGAATGGAAAGTCTTCGTTGTCGGCTGTTGGAGGAAGTTCATCGCACAGTGCCCTCCCGGCACCACCCTCTTCCCTTCCGCAGTCCACGTCTTCTATCCTGGATGCAGCTGTCGAGTCAGATTCAGATGAAGGGGAAGATGGTATAGGCGTTCGCAATGATGGTACCCTGTTGGCTAGTGACCCCCCGAAACCACTGTAAGTGATTACGTTCACATGCATTGCTAATCTAGGCCACTTAACTTACCACAATTTTCTGGGAATAAGCTGCCTCTTCTGTCACTTAATACATTTACATAACCAGTATAACAGTGATTTCATTGCTGATAAAAATTTTAATGAAGCACCAGAACCAGTTCTGTCTGTAGTCTTTTGTGTCTGACTTTATTGATTGTTATTTGGAAGTATTTGATATTCATACAATTTAGAAACTGCCCCAGCAGTGGTGAGGTAAATAAATGTTTAAAGCATGTTGCTTATGTAACAGAATTTGTCAGTTTATCTTAAAAACTTGAAAAATAAAAACGTGTACTATTTGGTATATATCAATCTCGTGGCCGGCAGCAGTGGCCACACGGTCTGAGGCAGGGACCTCGTGCTCCTGGCCGCTGGGACTTTGGGTTCAAGTCCCACTCAAGGCATGGATGTTTGTCCGCATCCATTCTCTTCCAGTCTGATGGATAAAGACTGGCCACGGAAGGCAAGGCGAAACCACCGTGATATCTTCGCAAGAAACAATCCCAAAATGGGGTTGCAAACCAATCCTAGGATTGTTAACCAAAAAAAATCAATCTCTTTGCTAGCTGACACTGGAAGGTTCAGTTAAAATGGTTATTTTAATACAAATGTAAGTTGGAGTTTCTCATCTATTGAAGTGTTTTCATAATGACTCCATGTGCCTTATACTAATTAAAATGTCTGAGCCTTATTAATACAAGTTTTTCTTTTCCTGCCTTCCCTCTTCTCGGCCATTTTCCGTCTGTCCCATTCATTCTTTTCTCTTTGTCTCGACTTTTGTTGCTGCAGTCCCGAACTTTCTCCTTACAGGCCGCTGGATGCTTCTCACACGCCCCAGACAATGGTAATTCATGAAGGTGAGTTGATTTTCATTTTGTTTTGCAAAGTAAAACTTTTCTGTAAAGAAGTACTGTGTTATGGGAATTTTGTTACTTAGTTCAGTCATTTAAGAGTCTGGATCTTTAAAGCTCCTTGCTGTATGTTTGATTAGAAATATATAGCACCAGTTTTGATATTTTAGGGATAAAATATCAGCACTTCATGATCCAAGTAATTGTCATATAGAATAGAATTATTTAAAAGAACTGCTACAATTTATAATTATAATGTTTTATTTGCAGCAGTACCAGAAATGAAGGTGCATGTATATACAGTGCCTATTTCTTGTGAAAATTGCTTCACGTAGACTGACGAAGGCGAAGTATTATTTCTTGTGTCAGGGTGAAACATTTGACTAACGAGTTTCCTATTGAGAATGGTTTAAAACAGAGATGCTTTTATCACCAATGTTCTACAGTTATGCCTTATATTACACCATTGAGAAGATCCTACAAAATGAAAAGGATTGGAATTGAAAGGGATGTATCAGCGTCTGTTCCGTCCTGATGATAATTTATTTGGTGAAAACATATGTGTCACAAAAAGAAACTGTGGAAGCTGTATTAGATGCTAGAGAGGAAAGTTGGTCTTGAAGTAAATGCAGAGAAAATGAAGTGCATGTTTGTTTCTCATCTCTTTAACCTCTTCAGTAGTGCCCC